CATCCCTTATCTTCTGTATTTGAGTAGACCCCCTCCCGCCCCCTTTCTCTTCCCCCCTCCAGATCCTTAAAGTTGTGAATATCAGGAAATTATTTTTTTTCAGACTAGCATTAATTCACCCAGACTAAAGACACAATGGAACCTTGTTATCCAGATTCTTCAATGAACAAAGAAGCTGCAAACAATTATATTTCAAATAACAGATAAAATCTCTCACTGGCCTGGCATGTCTCAAATGGCACTGAATTCCCATCTGAAGTCAGAACTAACAAATCCAGCGAGGTGTCTGTGATATAGAAAATCAAGGAGCATAAACAATAGATAATTTATTAGCCTTTAGCATTCCATTAAACCATTGGAATTGTGATGAAAACCCAAAAGAGATTACTGGGACAGATAACCCAGGACAACATTTAGGAAATTTCAGTAATGCCAGGGATTAGAGTATCTATTTCCCCAAAACATGTTCATGTGTAATGCAGGAAGATTTTGCATGGATGATACAGTGACTTCCCCCTGTCTTTTTTTTTGTCAAAAGCTCAAGGTCAGTGCACAACATACCCCACCCCTCAATAGATGTGTTTGGATAATTCTTTTTTTTCTCCCTCATATATCATTTCACCGTTTGTTTTTTCACCTGGAAGTGGTGAAAAGTAGAGGTATGATGAAGCTATCTTTCCTGCCCCCGCCATTATTCGTGCCTCATTTAAAGGCAGGCGTTTGGCAGATTTTGTTGTTGTTATTGTTCGGCAGCGCGATAAAGGACCACAGTTGTTTCCTGATTTGAATGTTGACTTAAAATTGACACTGACTTGACAAATAACTACAATATTTACTGGCATACAGGAGAACACAAATACCCCCATGGACCATAGAAAAGCTTTGCAAAAAACTCTCTTCTAATTATAGATGGACTTTTCTAGCAAGTATTTTTGTTTTTTAATAAATGATATTTGGAAAAGAAAAGAATGTTTTATGTTTAACTTTAGTTATTAATAATTTTGGGATTTCTATTTCAGTTGTTCTACTTAAAGCATTGTGTATGTCAGTCTTAGTTCATGGCCTAGTTTTTTTTGACACAAAATAGTATGGAGGTCACTGGTTCTGTTTTTAGAACTGCTTGCAGTATTTCCTTATTCCTCAGTTGTATTTTTTATAATTCCACTTTGCTTCTCCAACTAGACAGTACTCTCTGTTCCTCAACATTCTGACATGCACATATTTTGTTTCAACATGCCCTACTTTTTTCTTCTCGTTGCACTAGTGAATCTTGACTGGTTGTTTTCATCTTCATGAAACAGCCTGTGATACTCATGCCTAGGCAGCTTATAAAATGGCAATTGTATCTTGCATGATATGAACCATAAGGCCACATCCCAGTAGCAAAAAAAATTTTAAAAAGGAGAAAGAGTGGTGCAATGCACGCACAACAAATGTGTGCCAGCACACATGAAGGCCAGACCATCCAGAGCCAAGCTCTGGCTCCTGGTCAGACCTCTGTGCTGCCTGACCTGTGCCTCTGCTGCTCCAAGCCAACAAGCAAGACTGGTGGGACCAGCACCAGTGCTGGCTTTGGCCTCCAGCTCTCTCTGGCTGAAGAGAGCTGGGCAAGAGCAGTTTGCCTGTTGCAGGACAATTTGTCCTGCAATGAAGCATGTGTGCAGCGGCATGCACCTCGGCAATTTGTACTGCTGTAAATGCATGCCCCCAATGTCTGGAGTGTCCAAATTGTACATAATTGTGTGTATGTATATGTGTGTCTGCATTACTATGAGAAACCTTTTCAAAAGCTTTAAAGTAGAATATCACTTTAAGGGAAATATAAATACAAGAAACCTGCATTTGGCTAAATTAGTTGCATGAATTATGCTTATTATTAGATTTTTGCTGCCTTTCTTTTGGTTTTAGTTAGTATAAGAGTGATGTTTTAGCCATGCTAGTCCAGACATTATGCAAGAAGCAAGGATTTGTTAGGGTGATATCTTTTATTGGACCAGCTTTGTGGTTGCTATAAAGTTAGACGCACTTTTGAATGCAAGACATGCTTCCTTAGGTCACTTAAGGAGCACATAAAAAGTTTGTCATAATGCATAAATAGTATATCAACCATACCTCTATTGTGTATAAAAATGGTCCTTTTTAAAATCGTATCTTTAACAGTACAGGTATATGTTCCATTATTTTTCTCTCTTTAGCCAAAAACAACATGGTGGAAAGTGCAGGTGTGCAGCTCCCGACTGTAACTTATGGTGCTCTGCAGAAAGCACCATGAGTTACAGTGATCCCCCTGACCCAGCAAATGTTCTCTGTTGGGTCCAGGGTATTGGGGGGATCAAGCTTCAGTATGGATTCGACTGTGTTTGCAGTCTCTTTCCCCTAGCCCAAAGTGGGCTCCAGTCTACCTTTGCCCCCCTCCACCACAGACTGGGCAAACCTCAGAATGGACCTCCTTCCCCTCCCTTCCCCTCCTTCCAACCTGAAGACAGCACCAGGGGTGGGGGTGGGCTGCATCAGCCCAGTCCTGCTGCCAGTGCACACTGACAGGAGCGAACAAAGGTGCTCCACTTTGGAGCGCCTTTATCTGAACCGTCATATAATGAGGTTCAATTATCTCACGACTGACTTCTTTTAAAGTACTCTGCACTTCTGTCATGGCACAGCTGTAGAGTACTTTCAGGGGGCTGATCGTGTGACAAAACGTCACTTCTGTCAGCATCATTCATGTGAAACAGGAGTGGGGGGGAATGAATGAACAAACAAACAAATAAAAAACATTAACCCCCTTTAAATATTGCAGAACTGGGAAAGCTTATGTTTACTGCTGATATACCACACTGGGCCATTATTCTGAGGGTCAAAATATTCCTTGAATAGGAAATTATGATTGTAACTTAATATCACATCATTAATTAATAGGAGCCAATCATGGCAGCAAAAAATTTATCCACAAAATTCATTGCAAAAGCTTCTCAGAAAACTGAAATTTACTAAACTTTTTTAGCTACAAAGCTTAAAGGACCCATTCTGGTCCCACTGAAGTCAATACAAGCAGAGAGAAATGAATCTAGAGTACAATATTTAACAGAAGTCAAGATTCATTTTATGACCCCTAATAGGAGAAGTGGAGTGAGAATCACTTAAACTACATGTGAAAACATGTTCAGTGCCATAATATTTAGTCACAGTTGGGCTATTATACAAATTATGACTTAGTTTTACTTTTATTCACTAGCACTGGCTCTCAGAACTGGAAATCTTAGCAATGATTTTTGCAGCTGCAGTCCATGATTATGAGCATACTGGGACCACAAACAATTTTCACATTCAGACAAGGTAAGCACACTGCTCCTCCTAAGAAGCTGCCTGAATGCAGCTGCTGCAGCACAATCTAAAACAAAAAGGGAGAAAAAAAGAAAGCAGCATTTAATGGCTTGGGTCATGTTTGCTTGATGTACTGATGGCTTTGGGTCAGAATATTAAGGTTCAGTGCTGTCAGCTGTGCTCAAGAGATTACCCAAGCACGTGATAAAAAGGCATGTGAAGAATTTCTTGGCATTCATTCTGTAGGAAATACTTTACCCTGGCTACAGTTTCTCTAAAGGTTGCTGCTTAGCTCTAAAAATGGACGGTTCTGCTTTCTAAATGTTTCAGACTTTTAACTGATAGAAATAGGTCACTTCTGCAATCTTTGCTTGCCCAAGTCATACTTGCTCATGTGAATAGTAGCCTCCTTGACTTCGGTAAAGTTAATGTGACCACTTGCATGAACAAGGTCAGTGCATGAGAATAAGGGTCACACGATAGGCCTCGTATCTCTTAACATGAAATCCTTCAGTTTGGCTGCTCATTGATGTCTGAGCGGGTCATTGCAAAGTGCTTGGAACACTAACTTAAAAGGATGTCAGTCATGCAGAACATTTCTGAGCATTTTCTCTTTGCATTACCCTTTATAGTCTCTCCCTTTACTGACAGTATTTCTGACTTTGTACTTTCTTTAACTGGCATCCACAGGCAACTTCATGTAGCCCTTCATACCCCTCCTTAAATGCCACTTTTCTCCCAACAGTGTCTCCATGCCTACTTGAGTTGTTGATTTCTGTTTCATATTTGTTTGGTTTTTGTTTCATATTTGATTGGAAGCTCCTGGCAACACCCAAGGGAGATTTCCAAAGGCACGAATGGCAGTTGGGCCCCTTGAAAAGCTCCTCTAGGGTCCTATCTTAGTCTATTTTGAGAATATCCATAGTACTTACAGCACACTGGTGAAGAGAGGACTGGATTCAAGCCAGAATTTCTGTAATCTACTCCAAGCACAGCCACCGCCTTGCTATGTGATTTGCAAGTCTCTTTCCTTCTGTTGTCACCCCGAAAAATGGAGATCATATGGACCTATTCCATTAAGTTATTTTGAGTGTTCCAAATAAAGAGTACTGGCCTTCTTGAAGGACCCTTTTGGAAGTCACTCTTAGCAGAGCTGGGCTATAGTTGCAGGGTTCAGCCTAGTGTAAAGTGGCTGTCAGTTCCCTTTCACCCCATCCTTAAGTGAACTTTGGCTATGTCTATACTTTCTCCATTGTTATGCTGAGATTGCTGCTGATAACAACAAACAAACCTTTGCCCACTCTGCATATGCTGCTTGCACAAAAATGTATGAGGTCAACTTTTAGAGTGTTCCCAGGGATGCTTTCAGGATCTCTCCTATAGGCACGCTCTTGAAAGGCATGCTGTGTGCACCTGGCATGGCTCTAATTATGATCATGTGTCTTTGGCATGTGCAGAGCAAGAGACAATGAACAAAGTTTTATGTCCTGTAATCATTTGGAGGGAGGTATAGACATATACCCTTGGGGTGCTTATTGCCCTCAATTGAGGATTTGACCTGAATTGTTTTCTGTAAATAAAAGTTTTCAGCAAAAGAACAAAATTCTAATGAAAACCTAAATCACATATTTAAATCACTATATTAAAACATTCATGCAAGAAATTCACTCTAAAAAACAAACAAAAGCATTCTACTGTTTATTTGAACTACTGAACTGCTTAAGGGCTGCACACAGATTACTGGTAATCAGTTGAAATCTTTTTTGCTTTGGGATGCGTAGTTTGATAAATCTGATGGTGAACAAATTCCACGTCTGCTACTAAAGTACCAACATAAGCCGTTTCTTTGTCAACGTACTGGTGCATTCACATGGCCCAGCTAAAAATAATTTGTTGCATTACTTCAGTTCATAGTTCCAAGTAAAATCTTCTTCTCTATTTTTGTCCTTAATATTTTAGTTTGAAGTCTTGCAAAGTTAGAATATGACTTAAGCCACTAAACTTTGAGTTTTACTGTTAAATAGTTACCCATAAGTATTTGTTTTATGATATTGCTCACTCTTTCTTCATAATTGAACTGTCCCTAAAAATGACATGTCTCTGCTTTTTCTCCATGTCCCTCTTGCTTCAGAAAACCAGACAAAATGGCTTTCATAGTTACGTCAATTCTCAGTCCTGATTAAAAACAGTTACGATTAGCTAAGTAGGTCAGAACTGTGCTTCATAAAAATATGTGATTGGCAAATCATGTATTTTCCCATGCTGTCAGTGACAGACTGGACATAAACACTTTTATTATTTAGGTACAATCTGCTTTGTTCCCTTATAAATAAATTTTCCAATCCTGTTTTAATTTTGTAGTTTCTCTGATACATATTATGTATGTGAATGGTTAAACTGATTTTTTTAATACTACTCAGTATATCAAGGGGTGTATAGCCATCACATCAATATATTAATATCTGAATGGAGTGGTGAAATTATCACATGGCAATTTAAAACAGTACTTCAGCTGTTGTTCATTACAAATTTGGTTTTTGTTTAATCCCATGCCAACCTGTTTATTTCTTTTAGGTTTTGCTTTTTTTCAGGGTTTTCCTAAAGTTTAATCTCACAAATTAATTAATCATAATTTTCTTCTCATTATAAATAGAAAACAGAACTGTGTTCTTCTTCTGTACACTAAGTAATATAATAAGCAAGATAAATACATGATAAATATTATTTGTGTTATGAGGAAGTCTGTCTCAAAATTTCTGGTCAGAATCTGGTCCAACAGGAAGAAATAGACTTAATGGCAAATAAAAGCATCAGACCCCTTTAATGACAGACAACAGAATTTTTCTCTTTATTGTATCAATATCCTGTTGCTAATCATGCCCTTTTTTATACTTAGGTCAGATGTTGCAATTTTGTATAATGATCGTTCTGTTCTTGAAAATCATCATGTAAGTGCTGCTTACAGACTTATGCAAGAAGAGGAGATGAATATCTTGGCAAATTTAACCAAAGATGACTGGAGGTAAGGTCTAGTAGAACATCCAGAATGATTCTACTAAATAAAAAAGGCAGATCCTCTCCATCATAATACACCTTTAGAGTTTGAGGTGAAACTGGAGAAGCTGTAGAAATGGATGTAACTAAGAGAACTAAATGGGCATGTGAAAAGATGGTCATCTAGAGATTGCAAATGTGGTGGAATAAAGATATCAGTTTTAGCTTAGCTGCTTCATTGTAATCAACTTATAATTTATAATTGCATTTTGATTCCTAAAAGACATTTGATCAGCTACAGGAATTAGGGTGCTAACTGACATCACAGCAACCCAATGACCACAAAATCACAGACAACAGGTGTTAGCAACATGCGTTTTTCTATTATTAGGGTACAATGTAAAACAGTGCAAGCACAGCACAGAAAGCCCAAGCCCTTATTACATTTCTGTAAATAAAAGATTTTGCATTTACCCAAAGAACCTTGTCTGCCTACGTCCTTAGACCAACATGGCTATAACCAACATCCCTGTAAATACAACTGTTATTCAAGTACCTCCAAAATATCTTCTAAATAGCTGCACTGTAGTGTCACTGCGAGGCTTGCCCTAGCAGAATACACTGTTTCTGAGGATGGTATCAGAGTCAAACCTGCTCTTGTTTCTACCTGTGCAATGTAGTTTGCATGAGTGTGAGAGCAGAGTTTGGCTCACTGCGTGTGTGTGAGTCAGGCACAAAGTACCTTCTAAATCTTGTGTAATATATTATTTTCTTCTTATTTCATCTTTAGAATCAGGCCATCATTAGACAGTTCACTACCACATAGCTGAAATATGTGAAACTGGTTTGTGTGTAATAAGGGTGGTAATGCTTAACGTTTATATGCCATTATAAAGGACTTTTTCAGACTGTGATTGTTAAAGAATGGACTACTACCTGCTTTTCACATATGGCTTTAGGGAATAGAAACTGTCTTCTCTAAGTAAATTCTTATTCTCATTTTTATAATTAAAAATGGGTAAATTTAGTTGTGGAAAAAGATTAGTAGCCCTAGAAACAAATGTTAAGCTTCAGTAATAGTAACCACGTGGCTCCTACCAATATGACTCAACTTCCTTATTTGGGAGGGAATTCTTGCAAGGCTGAAAAGATAGGTTGCTCTCCATCACCTTGTTACTTAAACTGTCATGGGTATGAAGATGATGATTTGTGAGGTAGAATAAGGTTGAATTAACTATAAACTGCTCTCAGAAGTCATCGGCTTCAAAACCTGTGGGTACATGTAGGCATTACTTTTAGGTTGACCTAACTAGAGATAGGCCAGTTTACATGCCAGTCTGTGCAGATGTTTGGGGGATGTTAAATTGGGCAAAAAATGGTGAGCCCAATCTAAATGAGCTCACCTGAGGAGAGGAACTGATTTAGATCAGGAATGGGTTAGTCCAGTCTTTCAAATATCTACAAATTCAGAGCGCAGCCCCGGGGCTGGGAAATCCCAGCTGCTCACCCCACCAGCCCTGAGGCTGCTGTCTTTCTACCTCACCCCCACACCACCCCGATCAGGCTATTTTTAGCCCCCTGACCATCCCACCCCTGAATGGACAACCCCCTCCATGCACCCACTAACCTGTCAGGCAGGATAACCAGGCAGGATATGTTTTATTTGATTTTTCTATAGGTATTTTATCCTGTCTGGTTATTTATATCATGTTCGTCAACATAGTATTTTTGTGGCCAGCTAGACCTGGTTCATCCTAGCCTTTATTAACTGAGTGTCTTGGAGAGTAGAAGGGTGAATGAGATCAGAGTCCCCTTAAAGGGGAGGAGTCAACAGAGTAAGCAGGAGCAGCTTCTGGTTTCCAGTCCTACTGTGCAGCAGTGTAGCAATGCAGCAGAGTGCCTGGGGCACTTGGGACAGCAGCCATTTCCAGATGTCAGCATGCTGTTGGGACAGTCACAATTGTAATCACATGGCTGCTGGTGACAGCCAATATTTTCACACGGTTGCCCCAACTCAGTACTTTGGGTGGTCCCTTCAGTTGCCCTGCCCTAGTTATGCTGCCATATCAGTTCTGGGACCAGGGCTGTAGTGCAATGGTAGCTACACAGCTGTAGTTACACAAACATTTATAAAATGGTCTTTTTGCTACAAGTGAGAATGGTATTTCTAATGACTTTTCTTTTTGTATAGGACTGGGTAAAACAATGGGGGCCAACTTTTTTGACAGGTATGCTACACACTAGTCCTCCGCCCTTCCCAAGTGACGCCCTGATCCCTTTCTCCTGCCTGATCTGGGAAATCCATTTAGCCACTTGAAAGAAGCTCTTCCATTTTAAAATTATAAATAGAGTGAATTTTTTTATTCTTTATTGAAATGCTGTTAGAGTAACAGTTTTGAAGTTTGCACTGAAGCAAATTGGCAGTAAATTGAAATGATAATTTGTTCAACTTTTTAGAGTACTTCCTGGCACTGATTCACTTTGAAAGTACTGTCAGTATGTTTTCTTCAGTTGCACTGTTTCTTTTTTTTATTTTTAAGGCCCATTCCTGGTTAAACTATGGCTCTAATAATTATCTCAGGAAGATGAAGAAAAGCAATTGAGAATGATTTAAAGCATTTAATTTTTTTCTACCTGAAAAAGAAAAGAGAGATTTTTCTAATAAACTGTCAGTTTAAAATATAGGGTTCACATCTAAAATAATGAAGACCTTGTCAACATTATAACAAGAGCTCCCTCGGTGGATAATCGTTCCTGCTTCCTCAGGTGAAATATTAGTTTCCCACTCTTTCCTCTATGCTGAAAAGAAAATCCAACCTTATTCATAACCAGCAGATCAAGTTCTGATTTGGGAATTGGGAAGGCAGGCACCGGCAAAGAAACAGGCGCATTCTCATACACCATTTCACCAACCAGCAATAATTAGGACGGTGTGAAGAAATCAGTGGAAGTACTTCAGATTTATACACACTTAGGGGACATGGATCAGGATTGAGTTTGTGGACCTCTGTGAGAGTTTGAACATGTTGCAAGCAGATTTGGCCTCTGCATAGTGTGCAGTGCCATGGTCTTTATTTCTGATTACTCTTTATAGTAAAAGTGAGCTTAAAACCCAAGTTTAAATAACAATTTCTGTAGAAAGTGAGAGTAGTGGTGTGTTTCAGATTTAAAAACAGAAAGATTCAGCTAATACAAAACCTTCAGTTTCCAAGCAATATCTGTGTTGCAAAAACAGACTTGCCTGGGTTTCAAGGATACAGTTTCAAAGCACTGTGGAGGAGGAACAGTTGGGATGCAAGTTAATTAGTATCCTATTATGAGGTCATGCAAGGTAAGTCTTCTTCTACCCACATGTTGCCATGGCCGCACATTGATATTTGAATAAAAATGATAGTCCTGAGTTCCCACTAAGTTACTTCAGTGCAGATCAGGACATATCTATTGAAGTCCATAACTTACATCAGTTCAAAGTTGCTGTAAAGTGACTTTAGAGTCAGTCTCAATAACTTTTGTAATAAATTGTCACAACAGCCCTGAAAAGAAGTGAAACTTGTTATTTTAAAGTCTATACATAACATTTCTCACTAACGTTTAACAGTGTTTGTACCGGCACTCCCTATGTTAATTTTTACACTTACATTTTACTTGTTTTTGATTCAGTTTACAATGCACTTTTTCAGCAGTTAGCGATGACTGGTTAGCGAAATATTTCCTAAGCAGTCATCAACTGCATTAGCAATGATTAGCAGTAGTCTCAGTACACCAAGGAACAGATTCTTAAAATCAGAGGCATATGCATGAGGACACATCATGTTTAGTGTGCACTATCTGCCTATGCAAATGTGTAGATCTTTCTGACATTAATAGCCCGTGTAAACACTATGTGTACTGTCAATGGATTCCTACAGAGTGATGGGGTTAGTGTACTTTAATATGTAACGGAAACTAATGTACTTTCATTTATGGTTTTGATTTTACTAGCTCCACATTTATTTAATAGAGCATTAACATACAAACCTTTGAAAGAAATGATGAAGACAAACTGTAGACTTAAGATTTATTCCAATTTATGCTGATCTTTAATGGCCTTTGAAGGATTATTAAGATTGTACGAAATTGGACTTCCGTACAGTTATTGCCAAACCTGAAGACAAGGAAAAATATAGATAAAGCTTTTAAATGGTCTTAATTGATACCATTTCTAACACTGTTTAGCTTACTAAATGACTTCCCAGCCTTCTAACTATGTTGTGTCCGTTCATTTAAGAGCTTATTTCTTCCTTTTCTTGTAGTGGACCAAATGACCTGGTTGGTCTCCTTTATTTCTGATTACTGCAATCTTATGACTGGAAGGAAATAAGGAAAAGAGTTATACTAAGTGCCAGAATTGCACTTAATTTTATGTTTGCACTAGAAAATAAGAATTAAAAACTGGCAGGACTCTGAAATAATAATGGCAGGGTAGAAGTATGCTACTGCCTCAGAATCCCTTCAGGGATACACCGTTCCAGTGGTTAATAATTTCCTGAAGTGATCTTTTCATTAAAAAAGTTATTTTTTTTTGTGTGGAAAGATATAAATTAACAAGTACAGTTTAAGCAAATATTCCATAAACAGAGTAAACAAATTGTAATTAGTCATTTTACTTTTGATTGCTTTCAGGGAGCTGCGTAGCCTGGTCATTGAGATGGTCCTGTCTACAGACATGTCAGGTCATTTCCAGCAAATTAAAACAATGAGACACACTCTGCAGCAGACAGAGGGGTAGGTTATTTTCCATTATGTTCTTTATCTATGAATACAAAGTTGTTTTTAAATTAGTTCATGAACAAGAAAAATCTTTAAGTAATTGCTTTTGTTCTGAGATAATCGGAGCATGTCCTTGATTTGACAGGATAGACAAAGCCAAAGCCATGTCTTTGATTCTTCATGCAGCAGACATAAGCCATCCAGCAAAATCCTGGGAACTACACTACCGGTGGACAATGGCACTGATGGAGGAATTTTTTCGACAGGTGCCATTTTCAAAATTTGTTAATGAATTTAGTATAAAAAAAACATGTAGTTACACCACTGGATATTTTAGAATTCCACCAGCAAGAACATAGTTGAGCATGATAGAATAGAAGAGACGATATATATCTTAGTTCCCTTGATATTCGTACAGCTACTCATATGAGTGAGTAAAGATGAACAGGATGCTGTTCCATATCTGTTTCAGCTGATGCCAGGTTCAAAAGTGCTAGCTCTTTTTTCTTGGTATCATTATTATTTTGCTAACCTTATTTCATTCTTTAGATGGAGATTTGTATATGCTCTGAATTAAAAAAAAAAAAGCATTAAGTGGGAGGGAAACTAAGATACAAGAAGTATTTATGGTCAGAATGTTGTATCCTTCTCATATTACATAAAAACTTTCCCTTTCCCATGTACCATGAATTAATCCTGTATGTACCCAATTTAGGAGTGGCAGAAATTTTTGTTCATACCCCATGAAGGCCTGATACAGTGCCTGCTGAAGTCAATGGGAATATTTCCATTAATAATGTGGTCATATTTTACAATAAAACAAAACCAGGGACATGGCTCTGTAAAGGCATTTTTATGATTGTAAAATAGTTATACAGAAGATAAAATGCATGATTTTTTAAAACTGTGGATGCTGGTATTATTACTGCCATCTTGTGGCTAATAAGTAATGCAAATATTTCTCAGAGTGGATTTTTTTCCCCTAGAAATAAATAATGAGTTTATAATGAAACACTGAACACTTTACAGCTTTGACAATACCTACACTCATTCCACCCTTCTATTTACTCTAATCATCATTCATCACACTGAGCACTACTTCTTTGTAAACATGAAATCAATTTTTGTCACTACAAACTGTACTGCCTAACAAAACTTTTTATACATAAGGGGGTATGCAAAGTTCAATCAGTGAAATGAATAAAAGGATGTTTCAAATGTCCTGAAAGAATTATTTGAAATTCTTAAGAGCTCATGTGAAAAACTGGTTATGTTGTGATAAAAAACAGAAAGAGTAGCCATTTTAGAAGTTTTCCATGAGTGACTGATTTTTCGTTTCCTATTGTGTCAAAGATTTAGAAATTATTTGAAATGGCAGAAAACAGTTCTTTTTTGTTCATTGCAGTACTTAGTATCATCTTCATATAGACAATTAAAATGGCAGCATGACATCCATTCATAGGAATCTCTAGTGACATAGAAAATCATGTTACTGTGAACATTTTAAGAAACCGCATTTTTCTGTGTCCCAGGTTTTTCTACTACTTGATTCCACTTTGCAGTTTTGTTGTTCCCTGAATGAGAAAGTGCTATGGCACATAGTAGGAATATCCTATATGCTTCATGGGAAGATATTTACAATGAAATTACCTTGCCATTAATGACTTGATGTGATCAATAAAAGAGGATAGGAACCAATCCTATCATTCTATAGAGCATGGACATTTTATGTGAATCATCATCATTATTTTAAATTTAAAATACCCTCACCAAATGAAATAAAAGCTACTTCTGTTCTAGTCCAGGATATGTACGCAACACCTCATCTTTGGGATGTAACTCCCCTCCCCCTGTGTATGGGCACTGTACAAATGTTTAAAATAATAATAATAAAAACAAAATCAGGCCTGGTAGCTAAAGGGAAAAGTAGCAATGTTATTAAAGATGAGAGCAAGAGCCAAGTGATAAAAACATAATATAGATATCATACAGTATCCCCAGTGAATACACATTTTTGAAAAACCAATTCTAAATAGAAAAAAAAATAGATATTAGCTGCCTGGGCCATTAAATTGTCCATTTTCTTTGATACAGTTTGTGATTTTCATGCAGGATTAGTCATTTATTGAACTACAATTGTGGTCCAAGCAATAAATGAGTCAGTAAGTTAAACCATTATTCTGCTAGGCCATCTGCTCTTGAAGATTCATGCTCAGTTCCTAAAGGTGCTTAATGTTGATTTTGAAAAGTAAGATTTAGTACCTTATTGATTCTAGCACTTGCATTTGAAGTGAGAGGGAATAATAAACATTTTCATCTAAGTAATGAACAAACGAAGTTTTGTGGAAATATTGAGCAGCAGATCATTAATTAAGTCAAGACTGGCAGTCTGGAGCCATCAGTGGGTGTCTCTTATTGTAAATGGAAATGATGAGGTTTAGAACCCCAGGGGGAAAGGGAAGGGATCGTCTACCCAGATACATATTACTAATAGAGGTCAGAACAAACAGCCATAGAAACATTTTAGACATAAGGAAGCTGGATACATAGAGCCCATGGGAAAATGAGGCAATATGTTCAGTCAAGCAGCCGTAGCATTAGCAATACATAGTTTGTACTGCCTTGTTTACTGAGTTCATAGGATCAGCTAATGCTTTGGCTGGATCTCATAAATATAAAAATATGGAACTTTTGCCAAACACCTTCATTTTAAATATACACAACAAGGACTGCTCAGTAAGGACAGCAACCAGGCTATGCATGAACAGTGCCTGTTAATGTCAGTGATGGATACTCTTTAAACATTCAAAGCTACATTTTAGACAGGCATAGCCTGAGCAGTCCAGTCTTGCACTCTCTTTTCTCATAAAACTTCTGTGTACTTCAGTGACAGTAACAGAACTGCAAAATTGGACCAGAATGTTTAAATGAGCTCTGAAGTCTAGAAGTAGCTTGGAATCTCACTCAGTTTCTATTCACCTCTGGAACGCCATGATAATACCCATTTCATGGTAGTTTGGTGTATGGGCACTGATCTCAGTAAAAGACAGGAAGTTTAATAAAACTTAAATCCACCCTTTTTTGAACTGTTTGCCTGCATCCAGATGAGTGTGGCCCTGCGGTATGTGTGTCTGTGGTGCCACATACCACACATTCAGCTCTTCTCCGTGCTGCAAGGGAGTAGTGGGGGGGGCGGGGGAACCATGCGTATCTAGGGATAAAAGAAAAAAACCCACACTAAAAAAGGCAGAGTGGCAGTGCATGCAGGGGCAGCATGCACCACTCAAAACCAGAGCCTGGCCAGTCGGAGCCGCACTCCAGTTGCCAGCCAGGTTCTGAGTGGCAGGATTGCCACAGCTGCAGCCCCAGGAGGCCCCCAGGACCCCAGGCAAGGCCAGTGCTGACCCCAGCCTTCCCTACCCCATCTGGGGCAACCTGTCATGTGCCAGAGGGTGTGTGGCAGAGTCATTTCCCAGAGACAACTAACAGTGGCACAAGGTGTCCTGCAGCTACTTGTCCTTGGGAAAACAAACATCCATGCTTGTGTGGATGCGGCCTTTGAGTTTTAGCTGAGAATTTAGTACTTATTGGCCATGTCTACACAGTCATTTAGTACTTGTATATACAAGTACTAAATGATGCAGTTGCACTAAGGAATGGCTTTTTCATGATGCTGACTGCACAGTAGCTCATGACTACCACACTTCCTGCCACCCAACGTTACTGTGCAGTAGTCATGGGCTACAAGTGTCTCTTGTAACCACGGCCATTGTTTTTAAATTCAACATACATCCAGGCTTCTTCATCCAAGCCTACATATTAAATGGAACAGATTTAATAAAACTAAAAGCAGTACAGAAAGTATCATCTTGAATGCATAATATCTGCTAGTCAAGCTATCTTATAAATATGATGCTACCTTAGTACTGAAAAGAAGGAACTTGTTTTCTTGTGTACTTACCTAATTTTATGCAATATTTGTCAGTCCAAGAGGATGATTTCCCTATAAAGCATGGTTCATGTTAGGAGGACTAAGTATGATTAAGAAATTTCAGGGCCTCTTCTAAACTAAATATATCATCATATCATATCATATCAAATTTAAAATAAGTCCTATGCTTTCACAGCACTGCAGGAAAAACAGCAAAAGCACAGAGCTATTAGTAAGGATCTAAGAGTTTTTAATTTGAAGTTCTACCACTAGAAAATGAACATCAACTGAAGCAGAAAATGTTATGAAAATGTTTTCAAACGAGCTAAAGTTTGAAATATGTAACAGTATTAATATCAGGAGGGAAGCCAAAGAACACTGTAAAAAGAGTATTCAGGCAAAGAAAATCTAAGATATTTGCAATAAAAATACCCACCAACCTATCTCAAATACTTAATTCAAGTCTTCATTATATATTGTATTATTTGGGAAATAATTCATAGTGCAGTAAAGAGGTACTTGAAGACGCATGTTTAAAAGAGCAGAATTATAGCTGAGAAGTACCGCTTTAGAAATCGTGTTATGGTTTAAATAATACTGAATTTTGGGAGGGATAATATAAGGAATAAGCTGCTCCTGGTGATATACCATGGAGGAGTTCTGGAAACATCTTAAATCATGAATCTGAAGCCAGATCAATTTCTTTAATATTAAAGCTAAAATAAAATTAAAAATGTAATAAACTAAACTAAACTAAAATAACATAAAATCTGGAGTCTTAATAAAATCTCTAGTGCATTAGAAACTGTTTTTCATTAACTGGTTGAAATCAGTGGAGCTATACTAATAATATTAGGTGCTTCTAATTCTCCTGGACCCAGGAGCAAATTGTGGGTGCCCTCTATGTTCATTTTTTTGGAGAAACATGATGATGAAACCCTCCATTTCTTTTTCAAGTATAATCTAGGTGTACCTACCATCTCTGAGGTGTTTTAAAATATCTTTAAAGATATGTTTCTACACCTGTCTCATATCTGCTCCTTATTGCTTAGGGACAAATATTGTTCAGTAACCATCTCTCTCTCTCTATATATATATATATTTAAGTCCATCTACATCTACAGTTAAAGTGCATCTACAAGCAAGATACATCCTACAATTCTAAGTTAGCAACAAACTTCCAGACAAATATAGTTCTCATATTCTTAAATACAGTGCTATAAAAGGTACAATATAAGGCTGGTTCTCTTTTCCCTTTCCAACTAGCTCCTTAGGGAAGTTGGGGTAGAATGAAATACCCACGTATATTCTTCCATACTGTTTAGTCATGAAACA